TACATGTCTTTCAATGGCATCTTTAAAATGCCGTCCTTTGGCACCCTTGAAAGGTACCCGAGCCGCTTGCAATCATCCGGAGACCACTTTTCGCATCTCTGAAATGCATCTATTATCTGATCAGTAGTTGGCCCAGCTTCGGCATTAACTCCCAACAACTCCTAGAAAGCAACCAACTCCTTTGTAACAGGACAGTTTGGTCTCTCAAGGTCCTGGATGTACTCGCAGTTTAGACCAGTGAGGTATTCAAACTCGAGCAGTGAAAACCTCAAAGGCTGTGGACCAGCAAGACTCCACAGCTCATACTTCTTCTTTATGTCGAGCTGGAAAAAGAGTATGTAGTGAACCAGCCTTGAAGCCCATTCAAAATCCAGCTCTTGGAACTTGATGAAAACTCCCAACTTAGACTCCTTCAGCTCTTCATATTCTTCATCCTTAAGAGCATTCCTTAGAGCAGTATACAACTTCGTACACGGATGATACGTAATTCTATGCTGATCGCTAGGCTCTTGCCCTAGTGTATGTATCCTACGGGGGAGTTCGGGAATATTCTGCAAAAAAAATCAAAGAAAACCATCTCAAACACACAACCATCCAGTATAACATTTTAATTATAAGTCTACCAAGATTTCCATTAGAACATTTGAAAGCTGACCTGAAAATTCGGAGAAGATGTACTCGCCTTCGACATAGCGGTTATAGAACTGCAAAAATAGACGTGAAAAAAGAAGCACGATGAGAACGACGGTAACCGTAAAATATCCCCAATCTTTGAAACCCTAATTTGAAATGAAAATATCCACAACATCCAACCTAACTAAACAACAAGTCGATTGAAATCCCCAATTTTTGAAACACTAGTTTGAAACCAAAATTTCCCGAAATCATTGAAAACGCAAAACCAAATGGTAAAAGTAAAGGAAAACAACATCCATCCTAATAAAGACCCATTAAATCGGCAAGAGAAGCCTTCGATTTACCTTGGTCTTGTATCGGATCGAAATCGCCTCGAAATCACCTTTGAGAGAAACGGCGTTAGGGTTTTCTGAATTTCGCGAAAAGTGCGTAAAAAAAAAATCTTCTTATATATGTCCGGTAAAAAATCCGGTTAGGTTTAAAAGTAATTCGGTAAAATCCGGTTTGGACGACTTATAATTAAGTCGTCTATTGATATTATACATCCGACTAAGTCGTCTGCCTTATTAAATATATTTACCAGACGACTTAGATATAAGTCGTCCGGACCCTAAACCCTAAAATCTAAACTAAATTGACTAAATTAACTAACTAACCACGTTATAAAATCAAATTATACTTAAATAGAGTCTACTATATATATAGAAATAAACACACTTAGGTAAATTTTTAATTTTTCAAAAAAACNGCTTTCGAAAATCTGACCCTAAGAAACACATACAATACTACAACATATGTTGGCAAACCCAAAACCAAAGAATATCATCACTCACTACTTTCACTCATCTATGTTAAAAATAATTAAATTTTGTTCTATCTTAATTTATATCTCTTAAAAGTGGTGTTAATTACATGATTTCAATTTTTCACTTATCTAAATATTTTTTTACAAATTTTTTAAATTATGTTTAAGAATAACTATACCAGACGACTTTCAACTAAGTCGTCTGGACGACTTAGTTGAAAGTCGTCTGAATAGAATACTTACGAGGTTAGACGACTAATAATTAAGTCGTCTGACAAATCTTCTGGCTGGATGACTTTCCAGAAGACTTAAAATAGTAGTCGTCTACTAAGTCGTCCAGGATTTTTGAGTATGTTTTAAGAATTTGTGTTAGAATTTGTGTTAGACTTCTTAGACGACTAATAATAAAAATTGGTGTTACCATGGTTTGTACATAGAGGACAAAAGGAGTTGTAGTTATAAAAGTTGATCATCCATTACAAGTCATAGGTTTAAAAAAAAATTGAAACAAGGGAACAACATAGAAGTCATCCATTACAAGTCCACTAGAACCATATTACAATAAGACGATAGCAAGACAAACATCCATCATTTAGGAAGAGACGAGGAAGTTGAGGCACCATCCGCAGCATCATCCCCTTGAGGAGGTGTATACTGAATCTCAGTAAAACTAGGACCGAAATGAGTCACATGAAATACCATGTCTCCTTCCTTTTTGAACACGAGAATGTCACCGATGCAAAGGGAGTGTGCTTGGGGGAAGGCTTCCTAACCATCGGTGAGTCTTCTTCCTTCTTGTATAACTTCCCAAGTTTGGTGTGAAGCGTCCAATCGTAGTGTCCATTTTCCTTGGTTCGGCGTGCCTTCTATGTGTTTTGCGTAGAAGGCAAGTGGTATTCTCTACAAGTCAACAAAGGAGAAGATAAGCAAAGGAAATAAACAGAGGAGAAATAGAGAGCGTGTGTATACCACGCCACTGTAGAAACCAAGAAGCAGAGGCTTCAAGAAGTGAGGTTCATGCTGATTCGCCATCTGCAAACAAGAAACGAATTGGAAACATTTTAATTCTAAGTCGTCTGGGTCGTCCACCTTGAAGACTTATAATTAAGTCGTCTGGAAAGTCTTCCAGGTGGAAGACTTTCGAGACGACTTAATTATAAGTCTACCAAGACTTCCGGTAGAACATTTGAAAGCTGATTTGTGGTCTAGTTAGGTTGGATGTTGTTCTCCTCTCATTCGTCTGGTCAGCTTTAAAATGTTATACTGGATGTCTTGGTAGACTTATAATTAAGTCGTCTGGAATGTCTTCCAGGTGGACGACCCTAAAATGACCGTAACGTAAAATGAGAGGAAAATAACATCCAACCTAACTAAACAACAAGTCGATTGAAATCCCCAATTTTTGAAACCCTAATTTGAAACCAAAATTACCCCAAATCGTTGAAAACACAAAACCAAACGGTAAAAGTAAAGGAAAACAACATCCATCCTAATAAAAACCCTTAAATCTGCAAGAGAAGCCTTCGATTTACCTTGGTCTTGTATCGGATCGAAATCGCCTCGAAATCACCTTTGAGAGAAACGGCGTTAGGGTTTTCTGAGTTTCGCGAACAAAAAAAACATCTTATATATGTCCGGTAAAAAATACGATTAGGTTTAAAAGTAATTTGGTAAAATCCAGTTTGGACGACTTATTATTAAGTCGTATGTTGATACTATACATCCGACTAAGTCGTCTGCCTTATTAAATATATTTACCAGACGACTTAATTATAAGTCGTCCAGACCCTAAACCCTAACCATAAACTAAATTAACTAAATTAACTACTAACCATGTTATAAAATCACATTATACTTAAATGGTGTTTACTATACACAGAAATAAACACACTTAGGTAAATTTTAAATTTTTCAAAAAAACATTTATGCTTTCGAATTTCTAACCCTAAGAAACACATACAATACTACAACATATGTTGGTGAAACCTAAACTAAAGAATATCATCACTCACTAGTTTCACTCATCTATGCTGAAAACAACTGACTTTTTTATATCATAATTTATATCTCTTAAGACATATGTTAATTACATAATCCCAATTTTTCATTTATCAAGATATTTATTACACAATTTTTAAATTATTTTTAAGAAAAACTGTCCCAGACGACTTGCGAGGGCTAGAAACGTAAAAAAAAAGACTATTTTTTTTTGTTTGTTCACAAGGGTTTGGTTGTAATTTCAACAGCCTTTTAAGTTACTTTTGCATTTGATTCAAGTTTGGGTTTACTTTTGCATTTCAAGTCAAGTTTTGAGTCATATTTGTCAATTTTCCCTAATTTGTAACCACCGCTTTAATAACTTATATAAATAGATTTCAATCTTGATTTTAATCTAAGAATTTAATAATTTAATGCAGTGTATATTTCTATGGACCTTTTAAATTGCTATTGTTTCATAAAATATATTTTGATTAAGATTTATTGCCTACTTAACCTCTTTAATAAGATGCTATTAACCTACATTTTTATCAAAAAAAATGTTTCTATCATTTGTTATATATTTTTTATAAAATACCTACATAAATTTAGTAATAAAGTGTGAGAAATTATAACTATTATAAGTAGGTAAATACTAAGAAAATATAATATGTTACAAACTTAAGGAATAAAATTTAAAATAATTTTTGAAATGTATATGTAGCACAAATGAATAGTTATGCAACTTGAGATATTTAATATGATAACCAAAAAGTATATAACATTAAATTAATATTAAATATGCTTACAGAAAAAAACATAAATAAAAAAGAAAAATTTCGTCAAAAAAAACAAAAAAATATACATGTCCTTTGAATCTAGTTATCAAATTAATTTAAAGACAGAAAAATTGTCTCGTGCATTAGACCATCTCCAACCCAAACCTATTTTTTCTTCTATAATTCCCACAAAAATAGTGTAACTCTATTTTAGAGTAATTTTTATTCTAATAGTTCACTCTAAAATAGTTTTACTTTATTATAGAGTAAAAAATAGAGGGAAAAAGTGACATCCCTCTATTTTCTACTCTATAATAGAGTAACTCTATTTTAGAGTAATTTTTATTCCAATAGTTCACTCTAAAATATAGTTACTCTATTTTGTGGGAATTAGACCATCTCCAACCCAAACCTATTTTTTCCTCTATAATTTTCACAAAATAGGGTAACTCTACTATTGGAACAAAAATCACTCTAAAATAGAAGTACTCTATTTTTGTGGATTTAGACCATCTCCAACCAAAACCTATTTTTTCCTCTATAATTCCCACAAAAATAGAGTAACTCTATTTTAGAGTGATTTTTATTCCAATAGTAGAGTTACTCTATTTTAGAGTAATTTTTATTCCAATAATTTACTCTAAAATAGAGTTATTTTATTTTTGTGGGAATTCTAGAAAAAAATAGTTTTTTGTGGGAATTATAGAAGAAAAAATAAGTTTAGGTTGGAGATGTCGTTATAGAGGAGAAAATAAGATTAGGTTGGAGATGCCCTTAGCGGTGATAGTGTAGTGTAGAATTAAAAAAAAATAGGTCAATGTAAGAAAGTTTTACTTCTACTTCATTTGACATCGATCTTGTAGATATATAAAGTCAAATATGTCCTTGAATCTTCGGCGTTTTGATCCAATGGTTCCTCAACTAATCTGATTAAAAAGGTCTCCTCGTGTCTCAACCATCGTCGAATTGTCCGAAACCGAGACGATCATCGTGTTCTTAAACCCTAAGATCTGACCGGTAACTCTCTCCACCTCTCTCAGATTGTATAGTTATGGCTCTAAAAGAGATGGGAAGTGAAGAGGGGAAGGATCCATGGAAAGGAGAAGAATGGGGGAATGAGAATCAGACGAAGAAGAAGCCAAGCTCTGGAGCTAAAATGGTGACTAGAGCCAGAAAACAGATCCCCAGGGGACTTGAGGAGAAGTACGAAGCTTACTTCCTCCCTAGGAAGCCTTGGCCTAAGGCTCTTGCCTTCTATGGAAGCTTTGTCCTTGGTGGCATCGGTGCTGGTATGCTTATCGAGGCTTGGATCAACAACAAAGTCAAAGGTTCCTCCTTTCCCCTGTTTCTTGAGTTTTGTAGTTGTTAGCTGTGAATGAGGTAGGCGATGAGCTCCTTAGGGTAAATACTCAATACATAGATGTGGTTGTGGGTTTAGGGTTTAGCATCAAGATGTGAGATTAAAGAAGGCGTAATTGTGATAATGGCCAAGTCATCATCCTGTTGTTGTTGCGAGATTTAAACCATATATTATGTAACATTGATAATTTTTTTGAGTATGGTTACTAATAATTGGGAACATGTGTGTTTGCAGAGGATGGAGGAGTGATATGGGAGTTTGACAAGTGAAGTCTAGAAAAGATTGAAAATTGTAAGAGGAGAATGCATTTCAATTATGAAGTAACACTTTTGAGGACTTTTGTGTACATGCATATCACTCTTTTCTTTCAATAGCTTTTTTTGTATTTTGTAGTTTTAGTTCAATTGTCAATGTAATAATGGTAGAAGTTTGATTCCACTCTTTCAACGCTCCTGCTTGCTTTTGCACCTCAAGAATATTTTGGGTCTTTGATAAATTCGTCTGAGCATCTCTTCTGCCAAACCCTTTGGTTCCTCCAATATATGCTTCTGTCGACAAAGGGTCACTTCATTAGTCAAGCATGTTCTCTTGAGATGACTCATTTACTAAGCCACTCCTTATAAGTTTTGATAAACTCTGTATGACAATAACTTTGTACGACTCCGACCAAGAACAACATCCGTTTATGCTTTATAGGTAGGTAATAGTAGATAAAATCTCATCTTCTGTTACTTTAATCTCTCACGATTACCCCTCTTGCCTGCCTTACGTCTTGTGTGCTTTTCAAATCCTTACTAGTTGCCAGAAATGGTGATATACTGCTTGGCCTTTTTAGGCTTGTTTATTCAAAGAGCCACCTTGTATCGCTTGCGAAATTATTATTATTTCAGTCTTATTAATATGCTTTGTACCTTAGCTTTGGTGAGAAACTGATGAACTAGACGGGAAGAAAACAATTGTGCGGTGTAGATTAACAGATTCGTAACAGTTTGATTGGTGAGATGATCCTGAGAAAAAGACAAACTCAAAGTTGACACAAGAATCTTGAGTTGATGTTTGTATTTCTAGATACTTTTTTTTTGACTCTAATTAGACGATAAAAGTTGAAGCATTAAAATAAATGATACTATTAATGAGTGTCATATTAATAATATTAAATTTAAATGTTATTTTATATAATTTAATAATATATATATAAAAAAAAGTTTGTATTCTTAATAAGATAATTTTAAATATTGTGTTGTTATTTGAAAATAATATTTTTTAATTAAAATTACAAAACTAAGATAAACTATTACCCTTATAATTAAATATCAATCAAGGTAAAAACATTTGTATAAAGAGATTTTTAAATATGTATAATATTTCACCACAATAATGATCATATATAAATTTGAAATTTTTGTTACATAAATAATTTGATTTTTGATTTAAACTATCATGATGGTTTTTAAATAAATAAAATACAAACTTGTAAGAAGAATATGTCAGCATATGCAAGTAAAACAGTTAGTTATAACCCATGTTCAGGAAAGTGCTAGGTACTAGTCGAGCGTCTCGGTTGGACCTAGCGTGTAACGAGAAAATTAAGGATTAAGCGGAGATTATACGGGATAGAATTATATACTATTTTATATATTATGAAATATGTTAATCTTTAATTGCGTATGGCATTAATATATTTTCATGTTTAGAATCTTATAAAACACATAAATAGAATATATAAAGTTAATATGATATAACTTTCAACAAAATTATATAATTTATACTTATTAAATTTTAGATCAAATAAATAGATAAAATATTATTAAAAAATAAATAAAAAAAATAAAAAAATTAGATTAGGCGGCCGCCTAGGCTGCAAGGCGATCATCTTGGCGGTTTAAACGGGTTAAAATCGGATGACCGATTTTCTACAGCGATTTGGCATAAATCGAAACAGAAAAAGGTCGTTTAGCGCCTAAATAGCTAGGCGGCTAAACGGCCGATTTTTAGAACAAAGGTTATGATGCGGCCATCAAATCCACTGCTCCTAAAGTAGACGATACTTTCCATGTTTGGACTCGGATGAACCTAGACGACACCAAGCCCATGGTTCGTTTGACTCAGTTGGCTGTTCCCAAACAAATGCCACCACTTAAGCCTCCTTATCAGCTCCAAAAGATCTGTCCAAAGGTATTAAAGGCATGGTCAACACTCCCATTAATAAGCACATTTCAATCCCTTGAGATCAGCCTTTTGATTCTTTTTAATTATGATTTAACCTAAAAATCCTTCTTTCATTTATGTATTTGATTCTGAAACCCTTGTCCAAGAGCTATATATAAAGCTCCTCTCATTTCATTGTAAAATCAGATTTGAGTATTGAATAAAAAAGTGAGATTTTCTCTTGAGAGCTTTTATGCTTGTTCTTGTTATTTCTAAGTTATGTGAGATTCTTTCTTATGATACAAGTGTAGAACCTTTATCTTTGTGTGAGATTCACTTAGGTTCTGGTTCATGATCTTATCTCAAAGCCTTTCACATCTTTGAGTGGCGATCTTCATTCCATTTAAGCTGTCGGTTTTGATTTCTTGTGAGAAAAGCTAAAGTGAGATTCTGAGGCTGTATCAGGTTATAATTGAATGATTATTGCTATAAAAAAGAAGTTTTTGAGCCACCACCTGTATATATAGCTTTCTTCTCGTAATGAACCCAAACAAAAACGATAATAACATTTGTAAACTGTAATTTAAAAGGAACAAACTTTGAAAGTGAACTGTACATCCGAAAGGAAACTCTAAATAATAAAAGTAGAAATAAAATCCAAAATAAAAATAAAATAAATTTAAAAAAGAGAAATTTACATTGTGAGTCACTTTTCATCTTTCTAATAACACAATAAGTCACTTCTTTCTACACACACACTTTTTCTTAACTTTTTCATTTTTCGTTTAGTTTTTCTAGTTAAAACAAAACTATACAGAAACTAGTAGGGTCCACTAACATCTCTCTCTTATCTTGTTCATTCTCAACTCTTTTTTTTT